CATACAAATTCACATACACATCACACGTGGACCCAGAACAATAATCTGTGGATCTCATCAGCGAGGCATTGCGGAGCAACCGGTTGTCCAGCCACTACTCTGACCAACCAAACTAAGTCAACAATTGAAAACGATGGTATGAGAAACAATTGCATATATTGCATTGCATAGTCCTTCAAAGTAAAAGTCACGTCACGGATATGAAACAAAACGATTTCCATAGTAAAGTTTTCTAGAACGTTGTACCTCCTTATCGCGTCCTGTTCCTCATTACTGAGAATTGTGGTTCCCTCGGCGCATGCGATATGGATATTTTAGTTCAGTATATTCTCATTGTAGTTAATGAAACTTTGCGACTTGTAAGTTCAAATTGCACTGATAACATTAGAGACTTCCTCATCATTCTCACCAACTGCCCGCTACAATCTACTACTGAATTATGAGCCGGTATTATTGCCATAATCTTCAGGCTAGACAGGCCATTTGGAGATCGCAGTATCAAAGGTTCTGATTTATCATTTATTGGATCCTAAATACAACACCCGTCAGAACAGATACAATTCTGTGGAATCTGATTATATTTATTCACTTTAGTAGCGTCAAACCAGGATCCAACACTCAAACCCGCTGTATATTGCATGATAAATGATCTGCCATTGGGAAGGTTCAATGCAGGCAAAAAACTAAATCGATGGAAGTTGCCCGAAACCTGAATCAGATACACACACTTATTATTACTGGGAAAACGACTCGTCTGTGAGTCATAATTTTTCACAAGAAGCCTGCAATAAGGAGTCATCATTACTGTTACGCTCAAAATCAACCCTCGCAGTAAAATGGGAATAGCAACGTAAATGTACGGTACCTACAATCAAGTTTAACTTAGCTACGCTAAATTTACTCGGCAGGCGTAGGTATTGGCTTTCGATTACATTAGCGAAGTGGACCCGAAATAAATTTTCCGTTTCATTCAACATCAGCCAATCTCTGCACAAAATAGATGCTACCTCATTCAGCCGCAAGTATTATAAAGTGTCTGCAGCTCATCCTCGCTAATGAGGCGGTGTAGATACCTAGTTAAAGAGTTTGTAATGTTATTGTTATTGTCGTGCGGCGTGATGTAAAATAGAAGCCGGCTTCTAAGTCATATAACCTCAAAAGCTCGGGGCCGTCGAGCCACCGCGGATAGGGGAACGCGCAGCCGCTCAATGTTGTGGCGCGTGCGCGGTGCGGCCTGAGCCTGCCGGCCGCACCGACTCCGCTGCACAAAGCGCGAGTGGCCGCGATGTCTCGCACCGACTCCTCACGTTGATGACTCGCGAAACTGAGACACGCGAGCACCGCGGATCCTCTCGGCTCTCTGAAAACACGAGCATGTGATAAGATTTAGTGTGAATACGAAACGTTACAGTAGTGTTTCCTTTTGTGATAACTAAGTAGGAGCAACAGCAAAATGTACAAGACAGTGCGGCACGGGGAGAACAGTCTCCAGTACACTATCCTTCCGCAAACGGAGGAAGTGCTGAACAACAGCGGCCTCAAGGGCAAAGGACGAGATTACAGCCCCTCAATTCATGTGCGACGAGCTCGAAGGAAATCAGATTTGAAATATGCCTTATGGATACTGTCTAGTATGGCTGCAACACTCGTTCTAACTCTTGTTCCACTTTATATTATTGACGCAAGGAATCAACAAGGCCAGCATGAAATCAACACTCCTGCACCAATGGCATCTGCTGCGCGCGAGATGGTAAAGTCTAGAAAAAAAGAACTTAAGATGACGCCAGAGATTGTGTTAACGTTAGGTCAGAAATTTGAGACGAGCACTATTTCAACGCCGCCTCCCACAACTACTTCCACTGTACCATCAACAGTGACTAACGAGAGAGCGACTACGCCTCCCTGGACAATGCCAGCCTTGCGATCATGGAAGAGCTCTACGTCATCCACAGTCATTCCGCCTATTCCCACAGAGGATAATGTTATTCCACTCATCGGAACAGTCTCCAGTGATAGTCACGAACCTAATCATGACACATCAGTAAAATGGGAAAAAGACATTATAATCCGAGCGACAGTTACTCCAGAACCGATCACATTGCGTAGCGTATTAAAATATTATTCTAAAACGCAAATACCGTCTGAGAAATCAGTTTTTGCTACAAAAGGGTTTGATGACGTCCTGATTACAACAAAAGCGACGACAGCTAGAACGTCTATAACGACTGAGTTTGCAACTACTAGTGAAAATTCTAAATTAAGAGATTTGAAAGACACCATGCTGTCGGTGGATGATGACGATGAATTTAAAGAATCGCTGGAAGTAGATGAAGTTTTTTCTCTGCCTCCACTGAAGCCTGATTACGCAGCTGCCGGCATTGATTCTGATGAAGTGACGGTGGCAAAGGCCGGCGACGCTGGCTGGTACGGAGCGCGATGGCCGTTCGTGGACACGTCATCTTACTTCCAATGGACGGTACGTACTGCATAGTACTAGCCTTATTCTAGACTTATGTAATGTTTACCCACCTATTTACTTGATCATAACGCCAGTGCGTGCTCAACATGTCTAATCGTAACAGTTCTTTGATAACATCGAGTGATTTAATGAAAGCGGACGTGAAAAACCTACAAAGTTGATTTATGAAATCCAATGCTGATCGTATTTCTTATATAATGAACCGTTCTTATTGAACCACAATGAAGCAAAGATCTATTCACTTTTGCAAGGAGGAAATTATTAATTCAAGATAAGTTAATATAGGTATCATAACAAAGACTTCTTATTATTGTAAGTGTTCAGTTCCGTACGGGATGGTCGAAATAGTAGATGGTACTCATAAAAATTGACCTTCGGCAAACAAGTCCTATTTCAACAATTTTAATCTACTAAACAATATTAGGGGAACGACTGCTTCCATGGTTCACATCGGAAACATTTTTGACTTGAAAACTTTCGATCTAAATGATGGTACAATATGAAATTGAATTAATTTAATACTAATACTATTCAACATGGCGTAATTTATAAGCCAAGAATCACAACTTATTGATCCTGGTTCAGTGCACTCTAAATGGGAGGTAAAACCCATTCGAAGAATCAAAATTCTACTCCACGTTTGCGAAGACCTTCACTACGGGCGATTTAATTAGCACAATACTTAGTAAGCTTATCATACATAGTTAGGTAGCTTCAAAATGATTTTTAAGCATCATTATAATACCCAGTTGTTATAGTTGTTACTTGTCATAATATTTACAACCTATACAACATTTTTTTAAGACATCGTGACACCTATTTAAGCACCTATAGTGAGATAAGATTCTCCAAAAAATTTAAAACTATTTTTTTTGTTTGTTGTAACAGTATCTAATTCAAACTTTTTATGGAAATATCTTTAAATAAATTTCTGAAATGTAAAAGTGAAAAGAAAGCATCGTAAAATCGGCAAAATATACAAGTGCGTTAATGTGCAGCTTTTTAAAACAGAATGGTGCTTGGATAATTGCCCAAAAATGGTTACAGCATCGCCTCTCAAGCCATGAATATGGAACAGGGAGCTCTCCACTGTTAGTGGTTAACTGCGAGAGAGGTGTTCGAGAAAAATTACAATGTTTTCTCGGAACAGGAAAATGTTGCTTTACATTTTCTAGTTTAACATATCTTTGTTTACGTATTGCGTGTGCCAAAACTAAATAAAGAAGTAGGTACCTAATAAAGTACATGTGGCATAGGAACTTACAAATTGACACTTGGAACCGTTTTTGAAGGAACTGTAAAGCGAAATGTAGGTAGGTACTTATTGTAACACAAAGGGAATTAAACTAAAAAACAAGTAGGCTCTTGAATCGAGGGCTCCAAAACATGTGTATGTAGGTACGTACTGTATATATAATCCCATGACCCAATAAGTGCGACGTTAATGACAAATAAATTATTATGAACATTGTAAGAAACATATGGATGTCATTACATTTATAGGGGAATGGGAAAATTGGCAAAAAGCATAACAGCGCGGCCATGACGACCTCCGGAGCGTACAGGCGGCTGAATGTCGAGCCAAAGCTTAATCTAAATTTTATTGATATTTTGTTATTTATTTGCAATCGACTAGCGCGGATTATTCGCAAGTTATGTTATGTTATGTGTTATGTTCAAATAAAAAACTTAAATTAAAAACTAACTATTATAGGTTTTAAACTTCAACTAAGTACATATCGCATGTATTTTATATTATATAATTTTCATGGTCACTTATTCCTAGGTACTTTACCTACTAGGTAGGGAGTTCCTCATGTTACAAACTGTATTATAGCTACCTACTCGTAATACGTAGGTATAGTACAATATGTGTTTTCGTGAAGTTTACATACATATCGTATCATAGGTAGGTACTTACCAATTTATTAGGTAATTTACTCGGTCGTTCTTCACGGTAATTTACTTTGGGAATTACCTAAAATTAACTACGAAAAAAAGTTTGTTTATCTTGAATGAGAACGTTTGCTCTTCACTATATGAGTAGGTACGTGGGTAGGTAGCTATGTGTATCTAGTATCTACACATACCTCATATACAAAGATAAAAATGTAAGCCTTTCATCAATGGAATCTATTTCTGACTGTGTGCTTGTATTGTAAACTATAACCTAGACCGCCCAATAGGTTCGGAGTCGCGGAGAACCTAACGGGTAACCGGGGCTCCGGCTCGACGTGCAGGAGAAGGAACGGGGTGGTTTTTAGTCAGTAAGAGTCTGACACTCCCTTCCGCCTCACCCAGGCGGGAGCAGTCATTCGATGATTTTCCCCCTTAAAAAAAAAAAAAAGAAGACCGCCCAATAGGTACTTACACTCAACCTTTCAGGTATCCAGACTGTCCACTGCTGGACCAGGGGTATCTTGTAAATGAGAGGCTGTATCATAATCTCTACACTTGACATGCGGTATCAAAGTTTCAGGTTTATCGAATAACCAAAAATAACTGTATGCCATTATTCCAGGGTTACTCTCCCGGTGACAACTTGCTGCTGCCATTGTTAGTGGCAGCCCTGTCATCCATCGCACTGGTGCTGTTACTGGCACTCGCTGTACGCCGACGCAAACGCTCACAAATCGCCTCTTCTAAACTTGGTGTAAGCAACTTTTTTAGTAGTCTTATTATATTTTTCCTTATTCAGAAAATTTACAACAATACCTGCAACATACGAAACGCATGAACATAATAGTGGCACTTGTTCCAACAGTTGACTGCGGATCTTCAAGCTGACGATAACACCAACCTGTTGACGGCTGAAAACGCCGAGGATGGCGACGGTGAGGGCGAGGAGTGAGCACCTCCCTCGCACACGCTTTACGCTTGTTCAGCAGCCGGCGGCCGCAGGATGCCTCGTGTACAACTCTGGTACATATCGTACATAGTATTACAACACACATACTTCTATGCCAATAAATATTTACTTTCTGTTTATAGTAAACTATATTTCTATGAATAATTATTAGTAAACGCTATTTACGCTTCATACGTACGACGAGAGCATCTCTGCTAACTCCTTACAAACACAAGGCAGCCAGGTCAAGTTGTGGCACCTGTCTATTCTCGAATCTGTTGTAAGCAGCGAAACTGCCTGACAGCCATGACTAATGACCTATTGTGTTTATATTTAACTATTTTTAACTAAATTATAATGAATATAAATTGTATAACTTAAATGTTTCACCTAAGAATACTCAATTTGCTTGTGTGTATGACTAATAAACACTGAATGAATACGAAGTGATTATATCGGCAACGCTGTACTAACGAGCACGCGTCCTTGTCACCTCAATTGTACATCAGGCATTCCACGCACTTTGTAATAATTTAGCTGCAATACTGTAGTTTCTCGAAGTCGCATTAGAAGACCTGCCAGTGACCGTCTTCTTACACACCGATCATATTTCAAAATTTCAGTGCCTATTGTTTGTATATAATGTACGATTCGGTTGGTCTCGTGCCAGCGAAGGCCGGATGGTGGTTCCATGTTCAGAGATACGATATAATATGTAAGTATTTTTTGTAATCGCACTAGATAATCGATTGTAAATTAGGGTCGTAGATACGTGTCAAATGCCAAAATTGCTATAAATATTTTTGTTACAAATAAATTACTATGTAGAACTTCGGTTGTAGGGGAATGGCATGACCCGGTTATTTTTATAATGGATTTAGCTAAACATTATTGATAGTAATGATAGTAAATATAATGTAACACGTTTTCATTCCATGTCAGTACGTATTAAAGTAGCGAAGGTCTGTTCAAATGGTCATGAAATTAACAGCTAGTGGAAAGAACGTGATCCAATAACTGATTTGGCCATTTCCCTGCCACCCATAATAACGTCACTCGGCATCGTAATAAAACATGACAATTAGATATTGATAGTATACTTATGAGCTTGCTAGAACCTAACTATGAAGTGGTGGCATTCGGAGCTTCTGTTCATTCATATTAATAAATGTAGATAGGGTGTAACGGTCGAGTAAGGCCGGCACTCCATGTAATTCACGCTATCAGAATGTTTATCAAGCGGTGCTGTCTCTGTGCAGCGCGCAGTACTCGCATCACATGCAGTTCTATATTGTTGGGCCCGCTCAACACGCGATACAGCGGCCTCGCACGCGCCATGTATATCATATCTCTGAAAGTTTCGATTGTACGACTCGTCAGTATTAACTAAACCTGTGGTATTATAAATCTACATAATAAGCATACTCGTTTATTTTTTGTGTAGCCCGTTAGGATAAGATGAAATAATATCAATCTCGGTGTAATGTTATTATATCTGTGTTTTAACGTCGCTCTTTTATTACTATACATTTCAATTATCTAACTTTCATCTCAATTAAGTATTTATATAATTTTAAATACATAGTTATAAGACTGATATATGATTGAGTTTTTAGATACTAGTAAGTTTTATTTGAATGGCGTGTAACCTGTAAAACGTTGTTTTGTAACGGCACTATTCGTTTTCAATTTATGTGTAACTTGTGTGCTAAGGATATATGCATTTACACGTATTATGTAATTCAATGTTAGGTATGTAATATGACTGTACAATCGTATGTGGGAGGGGAGGGGAGAAGTGTAGTTAGAAATTAAAATGTGATACCTCTGTAGTATCTTTGAATATTGTCGTTTCCCCTGTAGAAGGAATTGTTAGTATCTTGCGTACGAAGCGATTTGTATTTATGAAATCGTATCGAGCGCAGGAAGCCGTGTTTAGGAACGTTTTGGATATAATAAATGCCCTCTATATTGACACTTGGAACATTAAACTTCATGCTAACATTTTGTATCATGCAATATAACATCGCACACTGGTGTACCAATAGTATTTATGTTACAATTAGCTTTTGTGTTAGACTTAGTTCTGTGAATGCCTCGTGCAGTGTGATTATTTTGTATTTGCTGTGAACACACCATGTACATACGTAATGAAATAAATTATGTTTTCCCACCCGAATACTGTATTTCTGTCTATTATAAAAACCTATTGGAATAAGCGCTTTTGATGGATGAAATTACGACAGATTGTTAAGTATTTTGCTATTGTCGAAAAAGTATTTATCTGAGATATACAGCTACCTACTATGAATAGTCCAAAGACAAAACTTTAAAATTAAAATTTAAAATAATAAGTCTTACTAATGGTGGCGACTGTACCGAGTATTATAATAACGCATATAGAAGAAAATAAGATGAATCGTAATTGAAAACCCAGCAATTATATACAATAACTTTATTTCGTTCTACCAGTGAAAAACTGTGCAATACGAACCTATATTAAATATTTAAAACTACAACATACATTAAATTGCTTTTTAAAGTATTATAAACAAGTTTTACTCATTGGAGCAATTGACTTATGTCACGTTAGTTAAGGATCAAAGTGTCAGACCCAATATTTACAAGAAAAGGAACATAAATAAACAAGATGTTACATTATATCAAAATATATTGCAATCAAGATTTACCAACAATAAAGTTATTTCATTATTGTCAATAAATCTTATAAAACACCTACTAAAATCATAAAGGAGACGGATAGTCGAAGTATAGATGTCGCAGTCAATTAGCTTAATCAGCCATTCAATTAACGACCTAGCCTGTTTAATAAATCATGATATCGCAGAGAAAATCTGGTAGCTGTTTATTCTTAATCCGGATTTTTGTACTGGTCGGAGTACCTTATCATTCTGATAACAATTCGTTTCCTTGAACTAACAGCCTGAACGAGAAAATCTGACATTTAATCAAACGGCTAGTAATTCTGCCGCGTTACTTGAACAATTAACGCTACGTCCTGCGTGAGCGATCTAGAAACGAACGCGATTATGAAGCGGTAACACGCGAATTCAAAGCGATGCGGCGCGACGCGGCTGCTATGTCCTACGTGCATGCAAATCGTTTCGCTTCATTTTTATTTCCGTTTAACCAAACAAAAATATGCCAGCACCTCATCCATATACGACAGTTCGCGGGAAAATATCAAACCAACTGATCGGGTCCCCGTCATTTCGCGCCGCTCCGCACCGCATCCCCCGGCTGTATTGTCACGTAGGTTACTTCAATAGATTTCGACAGTTTGTTATTTTCGCGCCGCACCGCACCACTACACATTCGCTTCTAGATCACTCACGGAGGACGTAGCGTAATAATTAAGCTAGTTGGCTTCGACATATATCTGTAAGGGTCGATTTTTTCAATCATCAGTTAATTTTTAACTTCGACAGTTTTCACTATGGATTTGTCAATTATTGAAAGTTATTCGTCAGTTAAAATTTATCTAGCGTTGGAAAAATCGGCCCTTAATAGACAATAAGATTTTTCGTATAATCAACATACTGACGTATACTTTGTCCTCTATATACAAACAATAAATTAACATAATCAAATAATAAATGTTCCCCATTAAAACCTTACAATTATCTATTTACAACATTTTAAAACTTACATCCGTTATTTCAGCTTAAAAAACTGATTAATAGGACTCTGAATACTTTCGTTAGTTCAAAATAAATAACGAATTGTATATAATCAATTAATTTCTTTAGAAAAATATTCTCAACTTAGAACTTTACAACCAAATACACTAAGATACTATATTTTGTACAATACCCTTTTAAAGGAAATTAAAAAAAAAACTAAATTTCGTTTCTACATTTATAAAATCAAATTGTGTATTATAATAGACGTAATCAAGAGTTATATTATGTACAAATATAAAGATAAGAATCAAGGATTATAGAATCTGACCCAAAATGAACTTATCAAATTAAAATCAATTTTTAATCTGTGTCTAATATAGAAACTAGAACTATTTACAGCACATACACCACTGATCAATCAGTTATCAGATCAAATTAGTGTTTCAAGATGACTATGGTACCAAGATCAACATCTAACCATGGAATTTAAACATAATTTTGATCACCTTTACTTTGCTTCAGCCTTTCAATATTTATGGCCCATTTCACATTCTCTAGATATCCACTGTCTGACAGACAAATAGGGTACTTATATGACTAGTGAAACAGGCCATTAAGGAAGTAATTATTCCAAAATGTTACCATTATAGTAATTAATTAGTATAAAGTTATTGGGGTGGATGAGCTGGTCTTAGTATCCTGGCGAGAACGTGGCGTCCTCCCACGAGTTTCAGTTGCTGCCCGTCCATTAGTACACTGCGAACACCGCTAGATGTCGTCGCCGATGAACTTGTCACAGCCTGGAATATTTTAAGGAACATTTTAACTCGTCGAGTACCGTATTTATAGACACAATTAAAGAACAATAGGTCGCGGTCACCGGTGACCGCTTGGTGTTTGACAGTTTAAACAAAAAAATACATATTGTTTTGCAATCTTTGCGGCTTTATAACTTAGTTATAAAAAGATATAAACGTAGTTTATGTATAGCATGTAAAGAGTTAAGACAAATATGAATCATAGTATTAAATTACATATTTAATAATTGAAGTGAAAATTCGTTTGCTTCTATTTTATAGCGGCGCGTACGCGAGAAAATAAAATAATGAAATATATAGTTCTTCTGATAATAATTAACAAAAAACTCTAGTAAATATACTTTTGCAACTGGCATGCTATTATAGTTTGTACAATTTCCGAATCCAAAAATTCTTTTTTCAGAAGCACTCAAATGCTATGCCATTACAATCTACATTAAATTAATTTAGGAAGTGCTTGTCAAAAATAAGCTTTTACTTGTCGTGAGTTTACTAATAAATATAATGTTAATATATTAAATGTATGCGTGTTATGTATAAGTAACCGTCTCCATCGCATCCAATCACACATGCAACCAGCCCTCTTTGCAAAATATATTCAGATAAGTTTTTACTCTTTGTCAACCAACTGCAGAATGGATTTAAGGATACAGATATAAAATGAACAATTCGCATTGCAAAATAGAACATACAGTTTATAAAAACTCTTTTATGTGGTGTCGCAATGAAACAAGCATTCTGTCTGGATATTTGGATCCTTGGTATCATAATATATGTATTATTAGCTTTCATAGTTAATTTTGTTAATACACCAAGATCGTGAGAAGAAGTCAGATACACTGAGGAAGGAGGTGAGGACGTAAATATACCCTAAAACCAAAATGGCTTGATTTATTAGTAGACAAAGGTGACTTAAAGTGATTCAAATATGAGACCGCTAATCCACAATGTTTTGTGCCTTTAAACTTTACCTACTGTATCCATTCTACATTTTGTTGTTGGCAAACAATATCATTCTTATCCACTGCGAGATTCATGCAAAAGTTCTCGAACTACTTAACTCAATCTCTGAAGCGTCAAACATGCAAACTGTCAAAATTCACCTGTTGAATTTTTATTCCCTGCGCGAGTTTAACCTGTTGTATTGGATTCACCTAAAATAATGATAAATATTTTATGACACTAACTTATTCTTAATGAAATGTACAAAACATAAATGTATGAAATGATGACATGTATTAAAGGTTTAGAAGGATATGATAATCACCTGTTGTAGTTTTAAAACGGGCGCAGAGGTCGACGACGTTGTCACTGTTTGTGCACCTGTACAAAAAAGTATTATCAGTAAAATCATTTCATTCTTCGTATAATTTTTGACTCGAGTAAATTCTGTTTTCTTACCAATATTACTTAATACTAAAGTTTGTGACGATGAGACAGCACCACTCGATGTTACTCTTATAGTGTTGCCATCACTTTGCTGAAAAATAAGAGATTCGATTTTACAATATTATTTTATTAGTAGAGAACAAAATCTATTAACTCGTCGAGTACCAGTTTTATAGACACAATTAAAGAACAATAGGTCGCGGTCACCGGTGACGCTTGGTGTTTGACAGATTAATAAAATTCTTCTTGCCAACAAGTATAAGATATTAACTATCAGTGCCTTTAGCCAAACGCCATTTAGCGCTTGTCTACATGTAGAATAGAAAACTAAATTATATGGAATTGACGTAAATTTTGACACTTGTCAGTGTCATCCTCATACATTTTGATTTCTACTCTCTCTGTAGATAAGCGTTAAAGTGGCGTTTGGCTAGAGACCCAGGTAACGCTGGATAAATCGAGGACTTCGTCAGATAGACAGCACGTAGCAGGTGTTGAGGCTTGAACAGGATTGTAGGTTGTTATGGAAGATTAATGGGAAGGCTATCCTTAATTTCAGGTTATTATGATTCACAGATAAATGAACCATTTCCAACATATTACTAAAGAATTAAGTATATTAACATACCTGCAATATAATATTATGCAGCGGTTTGGCGGAGGTGAGCAGCAAAGGCCGGGCGAGTCGAGTGGCGGGGGACAGTACCCGCACGGCGCCGCGCGCGCGGACCCCGCCCGACACTTGCACTGTACGCGCGCCGCCACCCACGCCTACACCCTCCAGGGACAACATCTGACCCTGCATACCATACAAATCGGAAATTAAATAATAAAACAAACATTACAAATATGTCTCCAAAACAGAAACTTTTCTCTGTTTAACGTGAATTTACTATGTAATAGCCAACGTACTTGTGCATTAGTCAATAATTTAGCCACTATTGGCTGCCCACTCGATGTTTTGTCGCCAGTAGATTGACTTCGCACAACCTGAGCGATCGACTTCGGTGTTTGATTAGCTAGCTGTACAGTTTGCCCACTCGCCAACTGCAATGTTTGTCCACTAGACAACTGAACAGTCTGTCCACTAGATAGTTGCAATGTTTGTCCACTCGGCAATTGAACTGATTGACCCGCCAGTTGCACTGTTTGCCCACTTAATTGCACTGTTTGTGATCCTAATTGAACTGTTTGACCACTCGGCATTTGAACACTCTGACCAGATAATTGAACATTAGATCCACTTAATTGAACAGTTTGTACATTGCCACTAGCTATTTGGACGGTCTGGCCACTAGGTAGTTGAACACTTTGTGATGGCAACACACTTTGACTAGCTACTTGAACACTTTGTCCGCTGGGTAATTTGACAGTGTGGCCAGTTAACTGCACACTCTGGCCAGCTAACTGGACAGTCTGGCCGGCGATCTGAACAGTCTGTCCGGCTAACTGCACTGTGGACACGGGGATCTGGACGGGTTGCGTGGTGGGTATGGTCTTGAGCGCTGCGGCGGCCTGGTGCGGGCGCGGCGTGGGGCTCTTGGTGCTGGCGGCCGACACCCGCAGCGGCGCGGCCAGCTGCACGGTCTGTCCGCTGGGCAGCTGCACCGTCTGGCCGCCCGGCAGTCGCACCGCGTGCTGCAGCTGCAGCGCAGACAGCTGCAGCGTGTGGCCGGCGCCGAGCTGCACGGCCTGGCCGCCGCCGAGCTGCACGGCCTGGCCGCCGCCGAGCTGCACGGCCTGGCCACCGCCGAGCTGCACGGCCTGTCCGCCCGCCAGCTGCACGGCCTGCACGCCATGCGCGCCTGCCAGCTGCACGGCCTGCCCGCCCGCGAGCTGCACGGGCTGCCCGGCGAGCTGCACTGTCCGGCCGCCGGCGAGCTGTACGGTGCGAGTGGTGACGGACGACGTCACCGCGGTCGGCACGCTGCTCACTACTGCAGTCACCCCACCCGTACTCTGTAATACAATGATTCAATTATAATATGATAAGTCAACATTTACTGACCCTTCACTTTGATACATTAAGTTTTAGTGTACCTGCGCAACAGTTGTGACAGACACAGTATTTGGCACAGTGGGTCTTTTCTTGGCTGCAGTAGCACCTTGGTGCATCAATGCTCTCGGTGATATGAGTGACTTCCCTGACGCCGGAGTAGCTGGACTCAACACTCTGACTACACCGCGTCTAGTTGTAGGTGTTACCTGAAATTATAGCACATTATTAATTAGTTTATTAATGTTTCATAGTATTTAATTGAAAACATCATATTGGTTGTAGCATACCTGAGTAGCAGGTGCAGTTGCTACTGCGGTAACAGTAGTTTGAACTGCCGTCGGTCTTATTAATAGTGACCGCGTGCCTGGATTGACCTGGAAATTATTTCCATATTAATGAATGCTACAACTATTATCAACAATTGCGAAACAGAATATTGTTATTATAAGTATCATACCTTATTCTGAAGAACCTGTACAGTAGCTGTACTCGTTGGTTGCACCACAGTTGTAGTTTGTAAATTCGATTGACTTGCTGTAGTGTTTATAACCTGCGAAATAAATAAATGTTACATAAACAAGTCAACAAAAACCAGTTACATAAAAACAATGTTTGTGTGTATGTGACATACCTGAGATTGCGACCCTTCCCCTTTTTGTAGCGGCCTTTGTTTGATAAGAGGCGACTTACTAGGTGGTGCCACTACTGAGGGCAATGATTTCGATAGTTGTCCAGAGAGAGTTGATGTTTGACTGACAATAATCTGCTTGGGTTGTTGTGGTTGAACCTGTTTGGGAGATTGAGTCGCCGGGGCAGTCTGAGTGGGTGGCTTGACCTGAGGAGTGGCTTGCTTTACAATGGTTGGTTTGATTACTTGAGATATAACAGCTTGCTTAGCAGCTTGAGTAACGTTTGCTTGTTTCGGGGTTTGTAGCGGCACATTAGTTTGTTTCGGCGACTGCGGTACAGGTGGTTTGGGTGGTTGAATGATGGTGGTTTGTTTTGCTTGATTTACATTACTCTGTCGTACAGCTTGTGCAAGTAAATTCGCTTGTTTTGCAGACTGAGCCATGAGTGCAGATTGTTGCTTGGCAGGTTGTTTCACTGAAGCAGCTTTCGGTATTATGTTAGCCTTTGGTTTCGGGGGTGGTGTAGCGACAAGTTTTCCTTTCGGTTTTGGCGGCAATGTAACTTGTTTGCCTTGCGAAGCTTGAGTAGCTTGCATCAGTAGCTGAGCGGAGGACATGTGTGGGACTGAAGACGACTGCCCACTATCATCCACGTCCACATCACTGTCCGATGCGTTCTCAACTACTTCTTCAATACTTCCCACTTCTAACTCCATCTGCTGAAAGACAAAGACTTTGGTAATAACTTGATCATAAAAAATATTTCACATAATAGATAATAAAATTTCTGTGACCTACCGCATGTGGTGGCGTATGTTGAGGTTCCTTAGAGATGGCTATAGGAGTGGTCCTCACTGGCTGCGGAGGGTTCGACGTGGAAGGTAGCGGTGACAGTAACATGGAGTTCATTTTACTGTTGCGCGACCTACCACTTGAAATCTTCAGCCAATCTTCTTCACTCCTGCAATGCAAAAAACAAGTTGCAGATTTCAACAAAACAATGGACTAAACTGCCTTGGTGGTCGAGTGGTTGCAAATGCGTTTTTTGTATTATTAGTATAGGAAAACATACCTATGCCTATGAAGGTAAGTCCATATAGCAGTTCGTTGGTCGTATTTGACGACAGGATCGCGTTTAGCTGAGACAAGTCTATCTAATACTGACGACACCGCGCTTAGCAGTGTTTGATCACTGCAAGGCGCTACCCATTGTGACATTCTGTAAAATTAAATAGAACATTAGTGACTTAGTGGCTTTTTTACCTTTGCATAAGGCAGTGTGTATGGCGCGTAAGATGTGAGCAAAACGAGTATCAAGACTCACAAAGGTATAAAAAGATTTCAAATAGCGTTATTTTGACACATGTTTAATATGATGCAGAGGAATAAATACTATTAAATACACAAGAATGTAACATAATTATTCTAGCGTCTGATAATATTGGTCTAATAGAAAGTTTTGTATCAGATAAATTGATTAACTATAAGTAACTTAAATCAAAATGAAATGTAATGAATACAAAGAAAACTTTGATTAAAAATAAGGTGTCTATGAGATAGGCAAAGTTTTGTTTAGCAGTACCTAATCTGGTAAAATGACGGTGCTAATGATAGATTATACTGACTGCATTGTTACAAGGCTTACCTTAACAAAGTGAGTACATGATGTCTAGTTCCCTCTCCGTTGGGTAGTCGTGCCAGTGCGTCCCGCACCAGTGCAGGCAGCGCGGCGTGTCGCGGCCGGGAGCTCACCAGCACCGCGCCACCGCCGCCAGACCCACGCACTACTGGACCTACTACTGACCGGTACCTATAAACCAGAAATACACTCATTTAGAAAGCTTCGAAATACAAAAAACACGAAAACATTGGAAAAAATAGACCACAAATCGGTAATCGACACCTGACAGTGTTTTGTTTTTCAAAACAGTTTTTTTTTGTTTCGTCGTATGCTGTCTTTTTAAAATAGTAATTTAATTACCTATAAGCGGAAACTTGTTATTGGCCGTTTATCTGTAATTTAATCTATGCTTATGTTATACCTAGCTGTAAGTTTTCCTAAAATTTAAAAAAAAAGGACGAAAACATGTAAAAATATGCCTTAATACCAACGTATATTCCATGTTTAACTTTCATAAGTAGGTAATTTTTTGGTCTAATTGAAGCTCAGTATCATCCTAACCAAACGTAAATAAACCATTACCCCGCGAATAAAAATTTAACAGAGAAATGAAAGCAGAGAGAATATTAGATAATTTTTAAACAGTTTTAATAGATGTTAATTAGACTAGTACTTACCCATACTGTATATAAGTGAATGGTTTGGCAGCCATTGAAAATCTTTTTCGTTCTTGTGAGCGGAAATCCATCAATTCGGACTCAGTTGCTGGACGGACGGACCAAGTTGTAGGATGCCTGGTAAATAATATTTTATCACTCTCATTTAACGCAATTCTAATTTAAAAAGTCTGTAATTCTAATTAAAAAAGTCAAGATATTTTATTATCTCCTTACAGATTTCATTTACTGTTCTTAATTGGAAAACGAAGTAGGAGAAATTACACTCCTAGGGAATTCCGGAGTCACGATTGGATGAAAGGGAAGGGGTTGGAGAAAACGGGGATATTTTATATTACCTAGGCGGTGGCGGTTCTCTGGCAGGCGGAGGTGGCGAGGCAGCTCGAAGCCATCGCTCACACAAACGCCCAAGTATGGCGTCGCAGTCACGACCCGCACCGATCCATTGATACATCTTCATAAATCACGTCATAATAAGTAAACATTACTTTTTCTCAAGCATACATTGCTAATGAATGACACAACTCTTGTATAAGAGGAGATACAGATTTTGTGCCCACCTGATGGCGATAATGTAGTGTGACAGTGTGAGGTCCTATTTGCCCAATCGTTGTAGCTGTCAAAAATTGTCAGTCCCATGGACAGACAAGTCATTTCTTGACACTACTAAATTCTCTATGAGACAAATAGGACCTCACGCCACATTAGCGTCATGTGGTGAGTTAAAAATCTGCTGTTTGAATGATTCATAAGCATATAAAAATGTTCTGTAATGTAAAAAGGCTGAGGGTAAATGGTACCACATACCTGTGATTCAGGTAAAAACTGTAGATATGGCACATAGTCATCTGGATGCTGTCCTCTTTCACCTGCTAGGAAATCTAGTGCAGAATCTAATTCTCCACACCAGTCATCAGACACTGAAAGAAATCACAAGTATTTTAGTACCAACACAAATTATATTCTTATCCTTCTTTCAATATAAGTTCTTATATTCATTTAATAAATAAACTAGCTGTAAGACTGATGGATTTACTTACAATTATACCAAGTATTGAGTGGAGCTATAGGGGACCTCATGACAGCAGCGCATCTCGCATGCAACTGTTGCTTAGAGGCTCTATGGGCCGCTCTAGCTGGGAACAATGCTCGTACTAGAGACAAGAAGTTTGCATGCGTAGTCTCTGTCAAAGACTCGTCAGGGTCCACTAGGGACTCCTCGACTGTCTCTGTTGATGTTTCCACTTGAATCACTTCTCCGGAGTCATCTGCTAGTTCTACTGGAAGAGCCATCATATCTGAAAAGAATTGTCAGGTTTAAGGCCTGTCTTTAAGCCATTGACTACTGACTGAGAAATGTTGAAGGCAAATGCTCTAACATAAGTTACTGAATCGGAATCGCAGCTATTAAGAATTTCTTATAGTTTTATGTGAACTGATGAAGCAAATATACAGGTTTCATAGCACAAAATATAATACAGTTTTCTACAAATATACACATTTAATAATTTTATTGTTATGTTGTGCAACTTACCAATTCCATCTAGATCCTCTAATTTGATGGGCACAGCTTGATGTATGGGTCCTCTAGCAGAATTCTGCATTGACATTATTGTATCAGGAGGCTCTTGTTTCACTATGCTTTCTAATTTCGTATCACTATAGTTTATACTGTAAATTAAAACAATTCATTAGTACAAAGTATATTAGAACAAGAATTAATTAGTAAGTTAAGTAACTATTAGGCAACTGCCTATTCAGACATATTATTGAGGCAGAAACTTTAAACTCGATTATTTATTTTGATAGCTCTGCCATCCACAAGAGGTGGATTTTTATATTGAAATTATTTCTGATGACAATGTTTCAAGTTATGCAGTACAAAAGAAAATAATACTCACTTAGACATACTGCTAGGATATTTATCAATAACTTCCTGTTTAATTTCTATATGGTCCACCTTCTTGGAAGATTTGGGACTAGTAATGGGATCCACAAATGAAGAACTCTCTGAGTCAGACTCTTCTCTTTCACTCTTAATCTTTATATTTGGCAACAGAGGTTTATTTTCAACGGTTTCATATGGTTCCTCCTTCACTTTCTTAGTGGCAGCCTTTTCTTGTCCCTTATTTTTACCACCACTATCTTTCTTAGGAGCTCTCCGTAACTTCTGTAATGGTGATCCACTTTTCGGTCCACCAAACATTAGTTTCTTAGCACCATTTACAAGGGCCACTCTCTGCTTTATGTCATCTATTGTAATTCCTGTTGTATTTAGTTCAGGATGGTTCTACAATAGAAATACACATTATTAAATATCATCTTACTTTACACAGATATAATATCCAAAGAAAATTTTGATCACTGTATTAATTATTACAACAATGTCACATACTTCAATTCAAGCACTATACAGATAAGATGTACTATAATTAATGTCGGTTGAAATAACAGTAATATTTAATGTAAACATTCTAACGTAATTGGTTACCTCTCTATATTGTCTTCTTGTTCTATGAGCTGCTAAAACATTCTTTAAACATTCCAGGGATGGTAAGTTTGACTGATCGGAACCACCTAACGTGCCAGATACATTTCCATCAGTAGGCTGAAAGTATAAATTGTATTTTAAAACTTGTTCTTTTAACATAAGAGCGAAATTATGATGAACTTAGTATTTACTTGTCCTTGAGCTTGTTTCCTCTTTCTTGTTGATTGTTCTGGAGGACCTTCAGGGTAATTTTCATCTTCAGATTCATCCCCTCCAACCTCACTTCTAATAGCATTCAATTCCTCAAAATACCTCTGCTTGGCTCTCAAGTACAATGGTTTAAAGTTGTTTTTTGATGATGGCTTTGGTGGTAATAATGGAAGACGTGGAATGGGACCTGGTGGCGCTGCCCTGGCAGCCGCTAGTATGCGTTCACGACTTATCAACACTTCTGGTAACAACTTAGCATAGTAAGACTTTATCTGAAAAACAAAGTTTGTTTGTCAACATACTGTTTGTCACTTGACAATGCTCAATCATTTTGAATGAACAGAGCCTTATTAGAATAACAACAATAATAATCACCTTGTGTTTCTGCTGTTTAACTCTTGCTTTCATTAAAAATTTTCTCATTTTAGCTATATCTGGCCTATAGTTACCCTGCCTTAAATTGTTATAAAAATCACCAAGAGGTGATGTGAAATGAAAAGGTTCATGATTAAAAAGCATTTTTATGGTTTTCTCCTTCTCCTCTTCTTCATTTTCTGTAAACTGGGGCAAGTATTTACTTAGTTCTTCTTTATGTTTATCTTCCAAAGCATCCCATGTTTTCATTGAAAAAAACTCCTTGAAAACAGAGTAGTCCTCACACAACTCTTGGGGAAGCTCTAGAGACTGTCCCATGATGCGGACCGGCTCCAAAACCTCGTCATCTCCGTCTGAACTGCCGCTAGATGATTCGGAAGAGCTGCTGCTGTCTCCACTGTAACTGTGTTCACTCTCCATCTTTTCCTCCATTGGTTACAGAGATATAGTTCAATGCTCAGGCAATCTTGATGAAATGCCTAGGTTTTTCACTGAATACAATAACGATTTTCCGCCCACTTCATTGAATTTTCACGTTGTTTTGTTCGAGTTGTTTACGAAAAACCTAAGCAATGGTATAACAAAATCGAACAATGAGCCATGAAGTTTTTTTAAACAGCCGTCAAGTCTTGTCTAAAATAAAATAGAACGCACACGCCAAACCACGGCGTTTCATACATACTATGCGCCAGAACGGAACATTACGATGAGAAAATAGCTTGACAATCAAGAACAGCGACATTTTGCCCGCAAAATAGAATTTAAAAATAAAAATGGATTGTCTATGACTCTACGTTAATGTTGTCTATTGACGAAGTATATGATTTTTGTGGGAAAGAGTACCTTCGTTTATAGATTACCAGTTTCTATACAAAACATAAGAATATTTAGTAAGTAATTTATTATGAAATGGTTTTATTTGCAATTATTTTTATCTACACTCTATTAACTAATCAGTTCTATAATAAGAGCAACACCGTAACTGTTGCTCTTTCTCTTCTAGCTCACCATGGAATGGACCAAACGGAACAATAAATTAATGTTCTTCTTAGTCATTGTCACTCATTTTAAGTAACTTGAAGACCAACAAAGCACGTTCATCTTAGTTATTCGTTTATTTAGCACATAACATTATAATTTTCGGGTAATAAATTTCCCATTCATCATCCAGCACAAAGTACGTTAAAGTCATATTTTTTCGCTATAGAATTCAAAAATATTAATTTGCGGTTGGTATGTTTTATGCATTCCATGAACAGTCAGGACAATACAGAGTAATATGTCAGATTTTAGGAACTTGCAATGAGATAATAAATCATAATGAAAGACGGAAGACGGAGTAATACTCAACGTTCTTGATAATATGTACTTATAAATTCCAAATTTGGCTAATACTGTTATTTTTTTGGGTATTATCTGATAAATACGATAGTTTGTAAAGTACACATTTCACAAAATAGTTAGCAAGTCAGCAAAAATATTATTTTTCCCGTCAATTGCGTAAATCGAAACGCAGCGCTTAAAAACCAAAAACAAGCAGTTGGCGGTGGTGGTGTCGAAAGATTTGACTTTTTGACGTAAATTATTCGTGTAGTAAATATGGCTGACGAACTCAATGTTGACAGTCTAATTCACAGACTTTTAGAAGGTAAAGATACTTTTATTTCATTTTCTTTTGTGTTCTTCGATTCTCTGACTCTAAAACTTATGTTCTAACATAATGGATCCTCGCTCAGTGTGCTCTTGTTGCGTAATTATCATCGAGTATGTAGGTATAGAAACGTCAAACTCATAAATAAATCGATTATCCCCAATTCTTATCTGATTCTGCATTTGATGTTAGATCTTTAGATGATTCGCAGACGACTATTTCCGTCTTAGAAATAGAGCAGACACTGTAAATAGTTAAATTATAGAGCTACGTTATAGTTATTCACACTACTAACAATGATGTCAGATTCATAGCATGGAACACTTCCATGGGCCTATTGTTGAGCTTTATTCGCTTTCTGTATCACTTTATATGATTTAAACATGTTTATTTCACTTTATTATGCTGCTTTTTGGTGGGTTACCGCAGTGTACAGACTGCAGCAGGAAACAGCAAGGCGAAAAGGGAAATTGAAAGACATCTTTTCAGGAGAATGTATGGTTATATCCAGAATTCTTGCCAAAGTATTAAGCTAGATTCTTTATTTTATTCCTTTAGTGACCAATCCCATTACAGAGTTTTCTGTTCAAATTTATTTTTTCATATTTTCTCTTTTAATTTTTTATTGCTCCTCTTATGTCCTAAAAATAGCTCACTTTTAACAAAGGGAAGCTATTGGTGTTGGAAGGCCTACTACTTTGCCCAAAACTTACACAGTAATTTGACCACTTACAAAACCACATAAACATTTACTGTATACATGACACAATAATTTGATAATTTGTGGCATCATTGAAGACTTTTCTGTTCTATGTATAGATGTTAAGTTTTTTAATTAATTCTCTTTAATTTCTTCTGATGAGTTTTTAAGCTAATGAAAGAAACAGGCATGATGTAAGTTTTTCACAATTATTGTATTCTGTTTAAATTTTTACTTCTAAGTGTATTTATTTTTATTAATTTATTAGCTATTCCAATTCCCAAAAATGTTGTCCAATTGTTGATGTTATTTTTGCGGCTATTCGGTTTATGTTCTATTGCATGTTTTAGACTTCATTTGGTTGACTTACTGTAATAAATGTAAATATGTATAGTCCGTGTATTGTACAGTAATCATAGCAACAATGTTCAGATAATTGACTGAACTTAACATTACACCATCCATGCATTTGTGAGTGCTTGAAGATGTAATTGTGATATGTAATGTCTATATTTAACATCATGTAATTTTCTTAGTTTCATCATTGTAGGGTTGCCATCTGTTTGAACTTCTCTGGGATTTATTTTTGTTGTTACTGGGCATCGAAACTAAAATAATTCTTTGGCAACATTCACTAGGTGTTTAGGTCTGATGTACCAAATTATGTTTTTAAATAAATTGTTTTACAGATGGTAGCCTGTCTCTTCATTTATTGTCATGCTCGAGCTTCATATTTTTTGTGTCATCAATACACTTATAATGTTTGAAATTTTTGATATGAATATTGACAAATTAAGGTAATTGAATGTTGTCTCAGTTCGAGGATGCAGGCCTGGCAAGACTGTGCAGATGTCGGAGTCAGAGGTGCGGGGCCTATGCACCAAGTCCAGAGAAATATTCCTGCAACAGCCCATACTACTGGAATTGGAAGCACCACTCAAAATTTGTGGTAAGTTCATTACTATTTATCAATTAGAAATTCCTCAAAAATCCTGTTTCTGAGATAAGATATGTATTTTGGTGTATATTTCGCAATATTTCCTGTATAGTGCGTATTTTAGATGTGACTGTAAAATACATTGTTTGGATACAGCACAAATATTTTTCTTTTGTTTTGCTATCAGAGAGATAAGTTTTGACGCTGGTGAATGATGGACAGTGCTTTGCCTACACTTTAAAAATAAACTGTTAACTTGAATCTTAATAAGATAAAGCTTATCAGTCATTGAGCCAAATGCAATTGCATAAACCAAGCCTGTAAAACATAATTATGACATTAAAAAACAATTTAACCCCATAACCATCCACTTTCTGTTTTACCTGGTACTGATACTATTTAAAAGGTTTGACAGACAGTTTGTCTCAACAAATAGATTGAAAAATGAAGTTGGGCAATTAAAAGGCTATTTTGGCTATTAATCAAAGGTTTTCTTGATCTATACGATATAGTAACTCATTTACAGGTGATATACATGGTCAGTACACGGATTTACTACGTCTGTTCGAATATGGCGGCTTCCCTCCCGAAGCTAACTATCTATTCCTGGGTGATTACGTGGATCGCGGCAAGCAATCCCTGGAGACCATTTGCCTTCTGCTCGCTTACAAAATCAAGTATCCTGAGAACTTCTTCCTTCTCAGAGGCAATCATGAGTGTGCTAGCATAAATCGCATTTATGGTGAGTCTTATTAATTAGCACCTGTATCTTAACTACAAAATATATTATTTGTGTACACATTTTATATGAGTAACATATACAAACATGTTTTTGACTGCTGTCTGAAGTAGTTGTAAAATTATGAGTATATCTTCATAGTAAATAGTCTAGTTAATATTAATTTCCACTTTTAATACAACGTATGCTCGGCGTCTGTCGTCAAGGCTAGTTTATATAGATTAAAATCTTACTAGATGTTCTAATATGAGTATTTGACACGCGATGTTCATCCACCAGGTTTCTACGACGAATGCAAACGCCGATACAATATCAAGCTGTGGAAGACATTCACAGATTGCTTCAATTGCTTGCCAATAGCAGCTATCATTGATGAAAAGATTTTCTGCTGCCATGGTGGCCTCTCTCCGGATCTACAAGGCATGGAGCAAATCAGGCGAATAATGCGACCCACTGATGTCCCCGACACAGGTGAGCAACATAAATAAGACGACGTAATTATTATTACTACACCTGTGCTAGACTGGTACACAACTAGGTTCATGCTCTTTTGTCCATCTATTCTTAGATAACCATCAGTTCATTATCCAAATTTCTGTTACCTTTTACATAGTAGAAAAACTTTACCGAACTTTAATCGCGTAAACCTCAACTTGAACTGAAACGGCATCGATGAGATAGATGCACGAGATAGTCAGATCGAAATCATTTCGACGAATAAAATAAAATGGATATAAGACATGAGTAATTTGATGAATCATATTCGTTCAATTGTGACTAAGCCGACATTGCTTCCGTCATTACATGTTCCATATCATTGTGACCAACAGGATCAGTTGCTAAATGTGTGAAGGACATATATCAACAGATATTTGAAGCCATATATTGACAGTTGTTTTAAATACACTCATTTCTACACAAAAATACTTGTATGGACATAATTCAATTATGATCGTAATTCATGTGATCGGAAATGAGTTTTTTCAAGCAGCGGTTTCTTATTCAATCTTATAGATTACATATCTGAAATCTGTGTTTAAAAGGATTGTTTCCTATAACAATGAACCTAATAAAATAAGTGTTCCGAGTTAGAAACCAGTTGAACTGTATGAGAAAAGTTTATGACTTTATTATGTAACACGTATTATGTAAAAAACTCACACCTTTGTTTCATACAGGTCATTAAGGGTAGACAATAAGTAAGAGTATTATTAAATACTAGCTTCTGCCCGCGACTTCGTACGCGCAATCCCATTTCCCCCCGTTCCCGTTCGTGATTTTCGGTAAAAGTAAAAAAAAAATTTAGATAAAAAGTATCTTATGTCCGTCTCTTGGTTCTAAGCTACCACCCCGCCAATTTTCATCCAAATCGAGTTAGTCGTTCTTGAGTTATAAATAGTGTAACTAACACGACTTTCTTTTATATATATAGATTAGTTATATCAACATGTTATGTACTATTCCAGGGCTGCTTTGCGACCTATTATGGTCAGATCCAGACAAAGACGTACAGGGTTGGGGCGAGAATGACCGCGGCGTGTCCTTCACGTTTGGTCCTGATGTCGTCAGTAAATTCCTCAACAGACATGATCTGGATCTGATTTGTCGGGCTCACCAGGTTTGATACGTTTTTTCATATTTTTTTTACAGCCGAAATTATCAAAATTAACAGCCTCTATACAACTAAGGTCAAAAAGCAATGTTAATTCACCGATTTTTTTTTAATATCGATTATGGTTGAATGTGTATCGAACATGATCTGTAAACTTTAACACGTTGAACGCCATGGGGGTCACCGGTGACCGGCGTTAGCGGAGGATTTACCTTCAACAGTTTTTTATTGGCAGTCAAAGTCTGAAACGGGTCTCCAGTAGTGTATTGTCTTGTGTGTAATTTTAAACTGTCAAACACCAAGCGGTCACCGGTGACCGCGACCTATTGTTCTTTAATTGTGTCTATAAAACCGGTACTCGACGAGTTAATTAGGTAAAATGTAAAATGTAATAAGTCTAGTACTGATCAATTACTCAATCTCAAGGTTTCGATACAAGTTGACACGTGTTACAGAGTAATAAAACGATGAAGAATACGTGAACTAATTTTAATATAGACAGTTTGCAATAGAATTTTGAAACATTTTTGTGTACGAATATTTTTCAAGTAGTTTTATACTTGGCGATTACACGCTAATATCCAGTCATCTGTCGCGGAGAACCTAACGAGTTACCGGGACTCCGGCTCGACGTGCAGGAGAAGGAACTGGGTGGTTTTTAGCCAGTAAGAGTCTGATACTCCCTCCCGCCTCACCCAGGCGGGAACAGTCATTCGATGATTTTCCCCCATAAAAAAAATATCCAGTCATCTATTACATGCTACATAAAACAAAAATAGATAAATAATACTACCAATTTATTAACAAGTCTTTTACATGATTTCTAGGTAGTGGAAGATGGATACGAGTTCTTTGCAAAGCGACAACTGGTGACACTGTTTTCTGCGCCCAACTACTGTGGAGAGTTTGACAATGCTGGTGGCATGATGTCTGTTGACGAAACACTCATGTGTTCTTTCCAGGTATTTATTATTTTACATTCTTTCTCTCCCATCCCCAGTCCCATGGTCCTAACAAATCTGTTCTCAAATGCCAGTGTTATCTCGTTGATTTTATTAGCTAGCCATCAATCAAGCTAATTTGATTTTGAGAACAAATTTACTCATTTAGATACAAATCGGTGTTCAGAATTTAGTCTAACTCTCTTTACAGTATGCTAGAACCAGCACTCAGCATCATTATTTTATTTATTATTGTTTAATCTAAAAAGTCTGTGTATAATTTCTACCATATTATAAAGAGTGATGAGCCACAAAATTTACGTTTGATTAGAATAGTTATGAAAGTATATCAAGCTTTTAATAAACCGACGTCATAGCGCGCTCGTGCAGTAAAGTATCGGTAATGTATGACGTAAGAACTTACAGACAGATTTACGAGCAAGCTTAGTATTACAAACTTACACGAGACAGCACAAGGCCAAAAGCGTCGTTTATAAATGGATTACAATAAAATCGTCGGCATTTTAGTAACAGTACACACATTGGCAAAATATCTACCCTTAAGTTATTAAACTTGCAAGCAACAGCTCTAAATAATCTGTACATTCTTACTGTTGTTTTGTAAACACAGGTTCCCATGCTCATTTCATAGCTTTATATCATTTCCATAGTACTTACAACAGCATAAAGTCAAGTCTTGGGTCACAACGCAACAACAAAAGGTTCCTTAGACTAATACACCGTTTATTCCTTCAGATACTAAAGCCATCTGAGAAGAAGGCAAAATACCAGTACAATGCTGCCCTGTCATGACAATACAATGTATGTCGGAAACAACTTTTTTTGGGAAAACGCAAATATAACTTTTTGAGGTTTTTCGTCAGTATCTCCATTATTTTGAACTTTATGTATTAACTAATTTTGTAGGAATATCGGTAATTACATATTCAAAATGACCGTATTATATTTTTTTTACTTTACTTTGTAAAAAAGGTTTTAAAGCGGGTATGCTATATTTTGTGACAGTACAAAGTGATTAATTAGTACTAGAATGTTTTACTTAATTAATACTGTAATGATTTATGTGATTTGTTAAAGTAATCACGTGTTTGAATAGAACGAAACAAACACTAATTTTATTTTTATTGTTTTGTAGAATATTGACTGGAATTTTAGTAAAACGACTAGGTATACCGTAAGCGTTAGGATGGCGGCTGCACTTTATCGATGGAGGTTATAATTATGTTCGATTGATATATTTGAAATGTATTTTTCAGTATCTCTTATTATTTTAATGTACTTTGAATCGAGAGATCACGAAGCTAAAGCGAGTCGCCATCCTGACGTTAGGATGGCGGGTGCATCCTTAAGACATAAGTATATTTTATTACATTATCCTACAATGTCCCTCAACTGTACCTCAATGTATCACAAAATGAACCAAGTTCGTTAAATGGTTAATAAAATTGACGTGATTTGCTATTTTCATTTTTCATATTATTATAAAACTAATATTCTCACTCTGCATGGAATTGGATTGGTCTCATACACTTTATTACGTGGTTATTTCATGAATTAAGGCACCTTTCAGAGTTCATTATAATTTCTATAAACTTTTGCATGATTCGATTCCATTATTTGGTGTAACAAGTAACAACTGAAAATTGGTAATGTATGATATGCAAACTTTAGCTCAACCATGCTACAATATTAAAAATATAGAGGCCTATATTTTTAATATTGCATATAGGTATCTAAATAATATAGCTTGATCAAGCTTATAGCTATCTCCTCTGATGTACGTGTAGTAAGATCAGTAAGCTCTTCAGAAGATAAGATAGGCCGTTGGTTATTTAGATTCATATTTGAAATTGCTACCTTTGAGATTAATATGTATTCGATATTGAACATCCATGCTTAGCTCCTTCATATTATTGTCTGGCTGGCTGATCATTATTTGGAAATCTGCGTAATTACTCCCTTGTCCCATTGAACAGGTCTCATAGATAGAATTAGCTACTAATACTCTAGAAGAGTAAATCATAACATATTTAGGTCTACGACATTATGGATGACAAGATGGATAGCACTACTCTAAACTGGACTGGTTGGTTTTATTGGTATAATAACATCCAGAAATAGAAGTTAATGTACCAATCACAGACACATACAGCCCATAATAAAAAGTATCACTGTCTAGATAAAGTCAATCTAAGAACTTTTACAGTATGGTGTCTGTGCTTGTCGCTAGGATCGCTATTGTAGTATAGTAGTGAAAGATCTAATGTACAATAGACAATTTGCTAATAGTCCAGTCATTGGTCTTTTCATTTATGACAATGACAGTGATTGGTCAAATTGTGCTTTATGGTTCATTAGCGCCATCTGGTTGGCATAATGTTAGCCATCATTGAACCACTGCCCTGCCTGAATGACCTACTTACAATAATTCTTATCAATGCAGTGAGATAGTAGGTACATAAATAGTTATCGTTGACGCAAATTCCTAGGCTTGTATTGCGTTACATGTTGCACTATAAATTATGCTATCAGCATAACCTCGACTGCATAAAGTATTGTGTGTAGATTCTGTTTCGTGTTAACCTCTTTTGTGTTCCTTTCTTCGTAATTATAGGTACCAAAGACAAAATAAGCAACCTATTCGAATTGTGTACAAAGTTCGCAATAAGTTTGTTATTCTACCTCTTTGGTGTTTAGAATCTACCGAAGTATTGGGTTCGATTCCTAAAAGTAATAAAGTAATACGACCTAAAACTAACAAGTACCTACATATTGGATGCCTGTGGTTGAATAAGCAGCTACTTTACCTTCAGAGAATCCTTTTTCTCGACCGTCCGAAGTCGAGGACCGTCGATCACGTAGACTTACTACCCGTAGATTATTATGTCTACTAACCCCCTAACTGGTAGTTGTATGAGCAATTGGAGGTGTTGGGAAAATTTCACTGTACCAAGAAATGTATTGGTAGTTGTAGATTAGTCGTAATTATCTAAACCACAACGTTTTGGATACATCTATATTTTTTAACATAAACCTTAAATCTTCCCGCAGATACTGAAACCATCTGAGAAGAAAGCAAAATACCAGTACAATGGCATAAACAGTGGGAGGCCGGCCACACCTCAACGATCACCACCTAAGAAGAAATAACTGACGTTTGGGATCCAGTGTGCTGCACAGTGAGAGGAATGCTACAAATAATTAATTATATCATGTATTATAATTATTATGTTTAGTATGGTCATTAGACATAGCCGAATAATAATATGTCGCGTATTGTTAAAATTTATTTATCGATTTGCTTGTGCCTTCTTATTTTTAATTTATATTATTAATGTGAGTGATATTAATTTATGAGTTTAGTTCTACAGATTGTATTGAGCTGACATTATATATTCGGCGATGCCTCGGTGACTATTGCTTTTTCGATCCCTGATTATAAGGCAGCCTTTGAAGTGGTATTGTACCCTGTTGTGTTATTGTAACATGTTGATGTTGTAGTAAATTGTTTCGTTAATTTTAAAATGTTTGAGGTGGCAAGCGATCTTAAAGATGCGGGCATTGGAGACGAAAGCGTCGTTACATTTCATATTAACTATTTATTAAGTTGTAGTGGATCGAAAGCACATTCGCTTGGTTAATTCTGTAACTAATGTGCCTATAAATGTAAATTATATATAGGTCTTGAGTAAGTGACGATAATTGGTTAATTTGAAATTTCTAGTTTTATCGGATTAGGCAAAAAAATTAAAATGAATGATCGTCCATGGAACTGTCCTCTGATTATTTTAGTGAATGATATTTTGTTTTCTCTATAATCCTATTGTGGAGCTGGCCTAAGACATGATATTAACCTTCACCTCGTCATAGCAATAAGTGTTTTTCTGTTCTAGGACTCCATTGCAATCACTTATGTGTTAGGAGGGAGTGAAGTACCCAGTGAAATTATCTTTATTTTGCACTCAGTATTATTCTTACCGATTAAGTAGATGTTTCAAAATTCGATGATGTTCAACATGATCTCCCTTATCTGAGGCTTTCACTTCAAACTTTACTGTTAAGTCTCAAAATTTATAAAATGTGGTAGAAGCAGTGTAGTCCTCGCAACAATAGTGCAATTGCTGTATTATTACTGTTATATTATAAAAAATTATATGCAGGTTTTGCATTGTACAATTTTATTTTTTAGCTATGTATGATTTTTCATTAATAAATATCACTATTTAAACTAAGAGGTTTATTTTTATTTTATTTTCAGTTTGGTTTGCATTTACAAATGTATTTTTGTTTAAAACTAACATTTTATGTATTTACTAAGAGAGTAAATGTGACTTAATCTATATCATACTTTTACATCACTTGATGCTTTTTATTAAATTTGTTGTTCATAGATTGCTATAAAATATATTATCTGTTCTTATTTTAACTCTATACTGTAAAATAATTATTAGCTGGTACAGATAGCAGCAATGTTAGAACTTATGTAATTTACTGTCAGTGTCACTTAATATTTAAAATTTTACTCTATTTTCATCTACACTTAGAGAAAGATAAGTTTCGAGAGCAATTGAGTTTCAAATTATATAACTTATTATAAATTTTGTTGTACTTTTTCTCAGGTGTGTACAATTTTCTGAAATATAAATTTTATTCAAATAATATCAAGATGAATTTATTTCATTAATTTCCATGTCTTTCTCTTTCCAGTTTACATCCTCAATGTCAATTTTATCAGCGAGATTAGTTTTAATTAAATTGTGGTGATTGTCTAATTTGTCATTGATTTTAGTGATGAGGTCCTCATTTCTTCTCTGGTACTTTTGTATGTCCAACTGTAGGGCTTTCAAGTACCCTCGCTTGGCTATCAGAATTTTCTTAATCCTATTTACTCTAGCTTCATACTCCTTGGCCAGGGATTCTAGTAAAACTTTCTGTTTTTTTAAATTAGCGACATCATTCGCTTTTAACTGAGCTTTAACATCTCCCAGTTGTGGTCTCCTATAAAAAAATAAAAATAATGTTCTTATAACTGCATACAATAAATAAATATGCCCAGTAAATTGTATAAATACCTCAAGATGACTGTTATACTCTAACACAATCATCTGATGTAATTCCCCAAAATTTGTTCATACAAAAGTAGTCTCTAGTCATTGGAAATAAGATATATAATGAAATTAGTGGATAGCGGTCACCGGTGACCACTTTGGGATAATCAGTTAAATAAGTTTGACATTTAGCATATATTGAGTATAAAATAAAACCATACAAGAGTGGAATGTCCTTTATGTAAATGGAGTTTTTCCATAACAAAACTTAGGATAATTACTGATATAAAGGATTAGTCACACATGGCAACTATTATATTGCCAGTCTCCTTTCTCATCTATAAGTAGGTCACAATTTGATTACATTTCTGTTAGTCTGACGTTAATTAAGACAGATGTTTCCCATACAAAACATGTATCAGTTTAACATTCGCTCATAGAATGTCATGGAATAGCACCCTCAATAAAGTAAACAAAGACTTACCATAACACCTTATCCGGGTCCATATCCATGAACTTTTCCTTCTGTTTTTCAAGTACATCAAGTTTCTGCGGCATATTCTCATACTCCCACATAGAACTTAGTTCCTGTATCATCTCGTCGAGAATGCCTTGTTTCAAACAGTTGAACATGGGCATCCATTTCACACGCTTCAGTTTTGCTTTAGGCACAGTCTCTAAGAAATCTTCATTTCTAGAATTAATTAAATATATTAGTTTGTGAGTTTGTTGTATCAAATAAGTTTTAAACAACTCATTTTGTAATATATTTATTAATATAGTGTAGGCTACTAATTTTGGCACATTTTCACAGTCGTAACAGAATATAGAGGTAATTAGCTTAATTTTTTACAGTTGAAGACTTCGTTACTCACCTTACAAGATTCACAATATTACCAAACTCTTTCAGTATGGTTAGATTATCAAATGTTATCTCAGAATTATTCATTTCCACATCACTTGCATGGTCTTCAACCTTTTCACCCATTTTAAGATAATTTATTGCGTTAAAATAAACAACAACAAGAAGAATGTCTGAAATTTTGAACGGTAACGATTTTTTTTTTTTTTTTTTCTTTCTTCTTTGGCAACCGAGTCTCCAATACGATGTTGTCGACTATACTGCCAGTGTCAGGTGGTGACGGCAGATTAATGAGCCGTCGAAGTTAACTTTGCGGTAGTTTTTAGTAGTTAGTAGCTGAAAGGACAAAACAATTGGGTTAGTAAACATATAAATATTAACAACTATTTTACTGTATGAGTACAGGGGTGAAGAAAATAGTTGAGGGGACGTAATTTTTGTTTCTCTCGGACGTCATTTTATATTAACAACTGTCAGTGTCAAATGACAACTATTTTTGGATATGGCAAGACTATACTAAGGATTTCTATGCATAATCCAATTTTGAGATATTTTAACTGACTTAATAATTTATTAAATATTAACACTTGTAGATATTTAGGTTTAGATTGTCTTGACTGATTTTAAAACGAAAGTGTGATCTTTTCTTAAGAACTGTAAAAATATTGCAAAAAATATCACTCATACGAGATTTATGCTTGTCTATGGTTAATTAATGACATAGACTTTTTCTATGGTAGCTGTTGAAATCACGACGTAAAATAAATTGGTCTATGGTTGAAATTAGCGCGAAAAATTCAAACGTCTTTCTCGCTGAAAAGTTTGCTTGTCAAAACTTGTGTTTTAATTTTTGATTTTATTGGTAGCGCTTGCTGTATTATTTATGTAATCAGTATCAGTTACTCGAAACCCATACAAAAGGTAGGCAACGTCTTTCATTTAAAGTATTCTTGAGGACAGAGATTCCTCATTACTGAAAACAATAACTATACTGAACACAAAGAATTCATTTCATCTAAATATTGTTTTCTTCTACGAGGAAATAAAAAATACATGTCTAATATTATTTAATTACTGCCGACTGCCTCGATGGCCGAGTGGTCGCAAGTGTGACTACCGGGCAAAGGGTCTCGGGTTCGATTCTCGGGTCGGGCAAAGTATTACTGGGTTTTTTTAAAAAAAATCTCAGTGGTAGCACGGAGTCTGGAAATGTGCCCGGTATATGGCAATAGGCTGTAGTGAAAAATAGTGAAAAATGGGTGTTACTTCTGTGTGCACCTCTGCCTACCCCTTCGGGGATAAAGGGCGTGACGTTATGTATGTATTATTTCATTACTTAAGTGAGGGAATAAATAGGTTTTAATTTTCATACCCTGCCATTATTCCTATTGTAAAAACCATACAAGTAAGTACCTACTTAAACCTAAATAATCTCTGCATAACATCATTCCTTGTAATCCTCGAAGGTGTAGTAGGTAAGACGTCTTTGAATGTGCAATGTACTTACTTAAAGATATATACCTGAGTATAGGTATACTCAGGTTAAACACTCAGGTGAGTATTTAACCTTTTTTCACCAGTTGTGTGCCTATATGTGACGTTATGATTATGAGTCCCGTCGAGATTCATAGGGCGTAGGGGGAATATAATATTAACAATGTTTTTAGAATGTTCGTCTAAGGTATAGGTACCTATATGTATTCTAATTACTATATGCAGCAATACTTAGATATTATTATATCTTTCTGCTGCTGGTAGCCGTTAGATTAATAGATAAAATATAAAAAATCGACTCAATAAGTTGGTAAACGCTAATAATTGGCAATAGGTACTTCATAATCATCATAGTCATAATCTGCTTGTGTTTGTTTGGACATAACTAGTGAATAGCACTTCACTGAACCCGATCTCACAGAATAATTCCGATCTTCAGCTTTACGGCAATAATTTACTTACATAGAACACACATTAAAGAGGTGCAATAAAAACATCATCCGTTTTGTAGATTTTATTGATTTTTTTAATTTATGGAATAAATAAAAATATTTAGGTAATAAAAACAAAACTTTTGTAACAAGTTCATATTCGTGGCAGTGACTATGTTATTGCAGTCTTTGAGATCTTGCGTGATCACTGATCAAACTTTAATTATTTCGTAATTTATTTTGTAGCTTACACTTTAAAAATTTATTGTTAAATAATTGTTTTTAACATAGTCAATGTATAACAGAAAAAGTTTATAAAATATAAATTAAGTTCTTATAATATGTGGGTTCGATGTCACGCCCCTTAGAAAGCAGCAGCTGAAAAAGAAAATGCAAATAAGGAATTTGTTTGAAGCTTTGTTAACGACTTATCTAGTTTACCTGGGTTTACCTTAATTTAGTGGTAATTCGTTTATAGACACGGGTAAGGTACACAATTTATTTTAAAAACTATGTATTTTTTATTAACATGTGAATAAAGTTCTTATTTTTTCGTGCTTTGGGCTTAAAAAACATTCTTAAATTCTTTTCAGGCAAGGCAGAACGAAGATGGGAAAAATAAGATAAGTAAGACACATTTAGAGCTTAGCCTGTAAGTATACATTATTTTATTTATTTCAATTAAGCCCACATTTATTCGTTATGATCTCGATCAAAATCAAAAAAATATGTACCTATTTACGTATTCGTAAAAATATATGTTTTAAAACACACGGTGTGTCCCTGGAAGTATGGATCAAATGGAACAGAGTCATAGATGATTCCTTTTTTTTTGTTCTGAGAATAGGGGTTCGAATGGATCTTTCTTATCATTATACTTTTATTCAGTAAACCTCTTGTCAGTTGAAAGTTTCGGGTATAATGTGTTTTATACCGGGAACCGGTGTTTCAGCAGATAAAAGGTTGATTTTAAGGGGGGAAAATCAACGAATGACTGCTCCCGCCTGGGTGAGGCGGGAGAGAGTGTCAGACTCTTACTGACTAAAAACCACCCCGTTCCTTCTCCTGCACGTCGAGCCGGAGCCCCGGTAACCCGTTAGGTTTGCGCGACTTCGAATCGGCATCGGCCCTATTGGGCCCCATTTGTGGTGGTCTGATGGCTCTTTGAGGCGCGCGCGGAACGCGACTTCTGTTCGCGTTTCTGGTCGGACGGGGAGCCACCCATGCTCGCCGTCCGCCGGCTCGCGCTTACGGTGGCAGAAACATGCATTATCATATTGCATAAATAAACGCTTCAAATGTAGTTTTCGGTTCTGCGAAAATTGATTCAATTTTGAAGTGATTTTCGTGATTTTTTTATTTTTTATTATAGGTACACGTCCATGTATCAGAAAAACTTTTACCATTCAACTGATTATTTTGAGGTATGAAAATCGAGTATATTGTCAATAGTTATAGATGTTAGAGAAATTTTATTTACGAGGTCGTCGTAATTTAGCTACTTATTTAGTTTCAAATTGTTTCCTATTTCAAATTGTTTCCAGACATTGGTCCTTAATAATTTAAACACTATTGTGACGTAGTTCAAGTCGAATAAAAATACTCCTTTATAATAGCTCGTAGGTTACGTTATTTGATTTAACCCGGATTAAATAGGATGGGATAACTTTTTGCTCTGGGCCATTCCCAAAAATTTAGGGAGTAACTTCGTCTATCCTTATATTCGATTTGATCCATACTTCCAAGGACACCTGCATAATTTCACAAACTCGGATCGAAAGCAATACGCTAGGTACCACTTTTTATTTTAAGCAATTCTTTGTTTAGAATTTCAGATATTTACAGTGCCTTATGTTTTTCTTAAATTAACTTATATTAATAGGTAGGTACTTAATTAATGGTTGTATGTACAGTTTGATTAGGATTTGTGTGTGTAGTATTAAGAGATGATATTTTGTGCATCCTCGCATCCTTTTGTAATGATGTTATTCGGTCTTATGCATATGCCATCGAATTTGATGATTTGATGAATGACTCCAACAATGATCCAATACCTAAAATATGAAAACAAACGATGTGAACAGGAATAACATAATATATTCTTCAGAATTAAGGTGCTTTAAATATATGCTGCTAAAATGAGAGATGACATAATTCTCGTGAAATACAACTTGCAATGTGATAAATAAAAATGTCGGTGGTCTACTTCCATCAACCGTGTGACTACCACAAGTGAATAGGAACAACACGTGAACAAGACAATAGGATTCAAACTACATTCACTTGCACGACGTACAGACAGATACCTGATTCAGTTTGCATATTTTATAGACTACGAATGAACGGTAAAGTCTTGCTTAGGTCACCCACGGTGAACTGGTCTGCCATCATTAAATCTGCCGTGATTAGAGATAAAAGTTAAAACATTTGTAATCATTTGAGACGTTTGGTAGCTATTACTACTACTTAAGTATTACATTCCAATGCAGACATGCGCAGTTTACGACAAACGTAGCGCGTCCTGAAAGTTCTATTTAGTAGTAGGTATCCAAATTTAATAGTAACCAACCGCAATATCTCGTTGTCACACACAATTACACTGTTATATTGTCATATCGTAGTTAATAAATGGCGGTGGTAATCCATGTCGATGATTAAATAGTTCAAGGCCAATTTGTACAGCTCAGATTGAAGATATCAATAAAGCCTCAGAGCGACGTTTTGCATATTTACAGCAACCCACTAACCTAACGGCCTGATCGGGTGTTTGTCCCAAAGGAAGGTGCGTTTGACTGGCGACAGGTACGAGTCACGGATGTAGGAGGGGCTGCGGTCCCATCTAGCCAGGGGCTTCAGCTCCGGCCAGTCGTACCAGAAGGGGTCCCGAGTGATCGCCGAGATTGGTAGAGAGGGGCTCGGGTTGAAAATGTCAGCCCAAGGCCTTCTTCGGAGTCCACCAGCGTTGTACAGCGGTGCACCTAGACGCCACAACTATAACGTTTAATGCCGGGACAACAGACATACAACAGCTGCACTTCGTCATCGCCCGCCCAAACAGTGTTAACAAGCAAGCGTTCAACACAGCTGCGTGACACTCCGTCAACACTTATATCTTAGTTATTTAGGAGTCCCACGAAATCTTCACCAATAGTAGTATTTTTATTCAGTACTTTACTTATCTTTGGTCCTATAGTTTATGGACTAAGGTACATAAAAAGTGCTATTAAAATTATAATTATTATTTTGAATTACGTTACAAACTTTCAAGTCAAACTTCGACCAATGTTTTAACTAACTTCTTACACCTTGATAATTATATTGCATGTAAGTACCTACTAAATTTCATTAAAATTGCTTTAATAGTTTCCATGAACTTGGACTTGATAGCTTGTATAAAGGCCCGTGTCGCGTAAACGCTCTCAACAAAAATATTTAAAGAAAAGTATAAAAAAAATCGAGGGACTCTTAAATAACCCAACTTACGAATAATGTTATTATCACTAAACTAGTGAATATTAATGATTAAAATACGATATGATTATTTTTTTCTGCTTTTGCCATGCAATTTTTCAGCAGTAGTGTCATGTTATGTAAAAGAACACATACACTCGTCGAACAGGACTTCATAGGATTGGTACATTGTTAAATAACATTTTATTATCTACCTACAAGATCAAAGATTTTGTGAATAAATATGTCGTGTTTTATTATTCACTCGGAAAATTAAATCGACAGAAATTAGAGGTAAAACGTAAATACAGGTTATTATTAACTACAGATGCTAAGTCTCACACAGCTCTGAAAAATTAGGTGCTTTACACTGCACTGGGGCTTCGGACGTAGAAAGTTTGATATTCTGAACACAGAAGAATTCAATAACCCAGGTAGAAGAGTGGATTATGACGAAGGTACAGGGTGTTCAAGGTGGGGGTCTGTTGCCCTTACCGTCGGCATCGTATGCGACTTCGCAGTCGCGCGGTGGGCTTATCCTCGGCTTCACCGGCGTCGGGGACTTCCCTCGGAGTGAGCGGTCAAAACCTGCCCATTTTTCGGCTTCAGAGAAAAATGGGTCGTTTTTGAACGGGTCCGATATCCTCGCCGGCCACGCTCCTTCATGGCAAGTCTCATAATCAATACCACTCTATATACTCAATATTACACGTCGGGGATCGGTTATAAAATCCGTTTACCTCGTTGATATATGGACACATAAGACCGGACACAAACATTATGTCTCCTAAGATACATTGTAGAGTGTAGTGTTCTTGTATGCAGAGCATGAATACCGAATACGTAAGTAACATTCCGGAGCGAATATTGCTTTGCTCATATTTACAATGCAGCTCATGCAAACATGTTCATTTCAAAATATTGATGCATGAAAATTTCATCTCAGTTTCAGACTGGCACACATTTCTATGGAATAGGCAAGTACCTATTATATTTTAGTAGGAGCGAGTTCTCGGAAATATAATGTAATAGCTACAGATATAGACGGTAGGAATGTGTGGCAGTCTCAAGTACCTATGTCGGTTTATTAAAAAATAATTTAGTGCCAAATTATAGGTCATAAATATGTCTAAACATAAAAAATTACAGCGGAGAGGTACTAAACTACTAAATCAAAACACGGGTTGGTCTTTTATGTTTTAATATAAAATATATCGTAGTGTTAGTGAAATGTTCTTAAAACTTTGTACTATTCAACAAGTTATGGGAAGTATAAAATTATTTCTACATATCGTAACAAAATAATACAATTTTAAATTCACTCAATAAAAAAGGTCGTTTTGATGTAGGTCATTTTTACAAAAGGATGTCAGATTATTATAACGTAGATGTAATGCATCAATTCAAGCTACTGAAGCTCTATTTATTTACAATTTAGAATTTTGGATGTTTTGTTTAATACAATGTACTTAGTTAAAGTATGTACGAAGGAAAGATGGTTTGGTACCACTAGCCTGTACTCGGTACCAATCTTAATAAGAATTAACTTACTTAGGTAGGTAAATTCAGTTAATGTATAAGCTTCTTGTTTCTCTCTGGACATCTTCATATCACACGTATACGATTCAACAATGATTGAATCTTACAGGTGAATGGAGTCCTTCTAAGTTCTTACAGTTATCTGAATCCACATTGAGAGCTATGTCCGGGATACTCCAATTAAAATGGTTACCTTTCCTAGATAATTTACATTTAACATAATTGGTATTCCGTCCTTAGCCAGCGACATGGATCAGCAAACGGCCGGGATTCGCCTGTACTTTATTTACAATAACAATCAGTCTATCTCAGACACGAAAGACGACTACAAATAAGTTGTAGAAGTAAAACTTGTACAGATAAACCGCGGCAGCGCTTAACCTAACTTATCCTAATTTGTTCGTGCATAGAGTTGTTAGAATTTACCTGTTCCCCAGTGGGGCTTGCTGTCGGGCTCATATTCGATGCCCTTTAGGCTCTTGGGCTCCAGGGGTGCGGAAATGGGAGCGCTAAGGTCGGTGATGGGGTATGCCCGGTCCTTCAGGTAGAGACCGTAGCGAGAGGGGTACAGCCTGTCGATAGCTGCCAGTCTGTCGAGATGGTCCTGCCACGCCTTGTGGGCATCGAAGGGATCGACGCCTCGTCGGACGCGCCTTGGTACGTGGTAAACTGTCAGGGAAAACATTAAACTTTAATAAATATAACCTACATATTACATAATACACGATTCAATGACAATGTATTGGTTTAGGAACAAGTTTATTGATGTCCCAAACCAAATTCTATGCTCATGTTACTTTTATTTTAAGTATTAGTTTACATAAACATAGGAACGAAAACCAGCGTTCACTGCCATTTGTGTATTAATATCAAGACATGTTTACACTGGATTCGTCGATAGAACCATTGAAGAGAAAACGAACATACAACATCAGATTTTGTAAACACTCTCTTGAAGAAAAACTGTAGAGAATAAATATAGATAAATCGAGTGTAATAAATAGGTAAAGAAAAGTAAGTAGGTAAACCATTCGTGTATGGCAATTTCAGAAGAGACAACATATTAACATAATGAAAGGAAATCACAGATAAATTATTTAAAGGTACTTACAGTTAAGTTAGTAATTTGTTAGTGGAGCTAAGCTTTATATATTTTAACTTATGATAATGACGAGGGACTCACAGTAAATCATGAAAGTTATTCATAGAACTCACCTCTACATCAACTTTCCGGGAGGGCCGATAAAAAATCATTGTGGGCTTATTAATTCGCAATTAGTGTTATAAAGGGGTAAATAATAAATATGTATCACCTGACAAATGCTAGAAGATCAAGTTACAGCTAGTGACGTCGATATAACATTCATGGATTTTGAGTGTAATGTTATGTAAAGAGAGGTGATTTCTATCAAATGATACATGCTTTGTATTAGTAAGTTGTAACTTGCACAAGCAACAACATCGATGCCAGCCAGTCTAGATATTTTAATGGTAATGGAAGCTAATATAAATTATACACATTTACAATGCAAATAACTGTACATTTTATGAACAATTCATAACGTGTAATATCACTTCACATATTCTAGTACAAATTACCACCGACTACGACAGTTTAAACCATAAATGCGATCTTCACTATGACTGTGGAACTATTACGAAACGACAAATATCGCTAGAATCGAATAGATGATTGTATGTAGCTCCATGTAATGTTAAATCGATTCAACTGCTTTTAGTCTTCGAGCTTATGTCAGGTAGGACATCATCTCAAGTTCATGATAAATTCTTTATTTATAATATAAAACTTTATTACATAGTAAAATATAGACGGCAGAATAGCCCGTAACGACTTGTAAAATCATTATAAAATGGTTTCTTTTGTTTTTGTTAAATGGCGATCATTATTTGATAATGACATGAGCTCGCAATGTGACTATACATTCTTTATGTAGTATTTTGTTATATTAGAAGTCCCGAATTTTAATCTATACTCTCCCGGAGACCTTTTGTGCTGAAACAAAATGTTGATACAGATTCTAGGACTGAAGTCAAAACTGCAGAACTAGAATAATAATTTTCTTTTCATTATGTACAATACAATTGTGAGGAGTGTGGATCACTTTTGTATTAAAGGTTCTTTTGTAAGAGTTATCATAATTCTCACTATGTACAGTATTATTCAAGGCCGAAAATAAATGTAATATTTACAGTGAACATTTTAGCATTGCTTTCTGAAAACTAGTTGTTATTGACTATTGTAAAACTTTTTACTTTTATTTGTAGGCAGATTAACCCAGTCGGTCAAAGGTACCGCCTTTGACTGCCAAATTGAAGTGTCAATGTGAGTGATGCACTTGCCAATCGATTACCTATTGAACTGTTACCAACAGGTGATCTATCAACATAGGCTATTCTTATTTTTGAAGCTTTAAAATTCAATTAAATTTTCAATTCGGTGGTCAATTAGCAAGTCGGTTAGTGTAGCTTGTGTGTCGTGTGTGTAGTGATGTGTCGTATGTATACAATAAGATACTAACTTGGCCTGTACGAGTCAAGGGAGCGCGCGTAGTTGTGGGCATAGATGGGGCGCGGGGAGTATCCGTAAACCTCACGGTGGACGGGCAGGTAACGGTATCCGGGGACGGTGATCCTCTCAGCGGCGGCGATGGGGTCGTCGTAGATAGACTTGGTGTAGGGGTAGCTAGTGCTCAAGAGCTCAGGGAACACGCTACGGCGGCTGGGCCTGTATCTCTCCTCGGCTCTGATGTCTTCCGATCCTGGGATAAAGGGTGATAGTTTTCTGTAGATATTGTCAATAGTCCACCAACCCGATCCTGGAGTCAGTCATCAATGCTTATAGGAAAATTAAAGAAAACTACTTTTCTTGCTTACCTTTGAGAGATCGCACGAAGGATTGCCAAAATCTGGCTTTCTTCGATGGCGTCTCATTTCTGCCAATCATTTCTAAATGACTTTTAAACATTTTGGCAGTTTATGTCGTGCTCGTGTTCTGTAAAAAAGTATATCTCTGTAAGTATTTGCTTCATTATGAATAGGTCTACAAGTCCAGCAAGAGTTGTGTGAAATCTACGTGTAAGGTGTGTCATCAATAAATCTAAGGCTAACCTTGAGATTGGCAATATACGTGTTTGAAAGATGTGTCCAGGTGACATAATTGAGTACAATAGCGTGCTCGTGCCTCGTAAATAGAGCAGTGACGTACGCAAGAGTTAGCAGCAGGGCCGCAAATAGCCGTCTCGGTGGCTGGCTCGTGTCGAATGGCCCGTGGACTTGGACACACGCCAATCTAACTGGTGTCGAGGAGAAACTTGAAAACAGCCGTTTTTACTAATGTCTACTCATTGCTCTGCTATTTTCGAGTTTGTGACGACCTTGTTGCGAGTTACGATGTGGATAAGTCAGCGGCCTGCCACAATTTCTAATTATGTAAGCTTCGAGCTTAGGTATGTGAAGACGGATTGATGCGGCAGCGACGCGACCCTATTGTATTTCACGATTTTATTTTAAATGTTTTTGTTTGGTTTGTAGATAATGCTTGAAATTAATTTAAACATTCTAATGTCTCGTAACCCTACATTAATTTAAATTTGTATTCATGTTTAAAATCATCATGTTTGTGTGTTAATCACGGTATCTACACAAACCTATACAAGAGCTAACAAAAACATGAAATCGATTACATAGGTTGGTATCTAGTTTATAAACGATAGTAAATCTATTTTTCACGAAGATCTCTGGATTTTGTTGAGTTTATTCATTGATGTGCGTCATTGGTTTAAATTTAGTTGAAGAGAAACAACATTCATCAGCTTTTCAGTTAAGATCGACGTCTGTGTAGATAACAGCAAACACTTCACGAACTATGGAATGCACGTAATATTTTATGTTCAATACTGCATACAGATATTCGCTGCCATTTTGTACTGAAGCAAATTGAAGGTTAAGGAGTTAGACATCATCATGATTAATACATTATGTGTATGGATCGTACCAAAGCATTTAACCCGAACCGATATAATTTGAAAATTATTAGAATACCGATTGCGGTTATAAAAATATTTCAATATTTCTCGTTTTTATTACTTCATTATGCATTTCATGATGGTAAGCCGTCGTCATTATCCTAACGAATCAACCGAGGCTATCGTTGCATCATTTTGGACCAGAGTACCAATCAGAATAAGAATTTATCAGAACGTATAACCTTTTATTAGAATAAGAATTCTTCCGATATGTCTGTTATAACGTCAGTTCAGATTACTGTTCATTTTATAAAGTTTCAAATGTCTTCTAATTAATAAAATAAATTTATGTCAAAAATATTCAGTAACATTCAACATTCAATCATTAACTGAGAAAAGTGAAAGGTGATTTGGCACGATTTAAATAACACTCGTTTAAATTATGTAAATGCAGTTAATTTATAAATATAAATGGGTTCAGTCAAGTATTGTCATAATTTCGTAAATTAGAAGAAAGTTGACACAAGTTTTTAAATTCTTTAATAACTAGGACTGGTTACAACCAATGTGGGTCGTAGGTAAAAAAGGTACCTTACATTAAAAACTAAGTTAGAAAGTACTTTCATATGCATGTAATTACTTATTGACTAGGTTTTAATTGATTTTATTTAATTAAATATACCATAGCTAATAATAATAAAAAAATAAATTCAGTGTGTAATATAATACCTAAACGGATGGAAAATTCAATAGGTAACTATTGTTTATAGTACTTAACTATTAACAGGTTAACTATTTTTGTGTCTATTTGATTGGTTTTCACACGATTCCTATCATCAGGATGGATCTTAGCTACCCACCTGATTTACCAATTAGGTCAAGACTTAAGGCCAATGTCAAATATGTTTTGCTACACACATTTCCATAGTCCATTCCATAGTACTACTACTATTGCAGTAGGTGTCCTTGGTATCTGTATAAAAATCTATGGTATTTAGTCCAGACTGAAATTGAAGGTTAAGTATGTAGGTATCAGAACGAGGTGGACTAGCCGTTAAAAAAAAGCTAGTCGATTGTGAAACGGTTACAAAAATACATGGAGGCGCGTCGATTTGGCGGGATTGCAAATTTGGCGCGGGATGAGTGTGGCTGAAAATAGGCGCGCGCGCGGCCGGATCGGATTCACAGCATTCCCGGATCCGGCGCATTGTCGCAGGCACAGGTGCGCCGGCACACGTACTACGGTGACTTATGTACTCACACACGCTACATACAGATACATTAAATAATTCCTTCAACAATTCTATAACAAAATTTTAATTAAAACTGCAACTATTTTAAGAGATTCTAGCATAGTTTTCAGTATGATTACATTATGAATTCACTGAAACTTGAAATTGAAAGAAAGTAATTAAAAATATATACGCACAAAAAAATAACGTAAATAGAACTGCCATCACAATTATATACTTTTAACTTAAATAAGTCACACGTCTTTTATTTTAGACCGTAGCTAAATAGCAAAATGCTTTGATTTCAATAGTTTCAGTATCGCCAAAGTGTAACTGCAGCGAATATGTTTGAATTAACGTTGCTGTTATTGTTTGTAATACGAAAAAGCAAGCAAAATGTTAAATAACAAGTGCACTATGAAACTATTCTCAATTCAACATCTAAGAACGGTTTATGATTTATGTAGGTATTATAATAAACACTGTTTACCAATGATTAGAAAATCCTTCTTGAAATGTTGTTCTATTAAACAAATATTTATGTATATTTTCACCTGTATTTTATGGTTCACTTTCGAATAACGTGGTATTGACTTACGTGCTGCTGAACAAATGTTACCCGGTTATCTCCGCTTATCTCGACTAATCACCCGCGAGAATACAAACTAGACTTAAGTCAAAGTCGCGGACCGAGTGAGACGAAATCGCAATTGCGCAACTTTAGAGCGAGACGACGCTACGAACTTTTGGGAGTCATGATGCGCACGGCGAACACCCCACGTGGGGTACACTTGGCACAACCCTTGCGGACTTAGCGTTGAGACACTGGCCAGTTTCTTACCGATTAAATAATGGTCGTTAAATAAATAGAGTTGTGTGGTTTCGTTGACGAGCCGACGTCGAGTGTCGGACCTGGGCGGGCGCGCACTGGCCGCGGCGGGCGCGAGCAACACTTGCCGGCCGCCCGCCCCGCTCCCGCCGCCCGCCCGCCCATACCATTCAATAAACATTTTATTTTGCTCGTGTTTTACTACTTATGTGCCTACATTGGCTCCCGGATGCTAACTTTTTGCTAGTAGCTCATGTAATAGAATCATTAAACATACAAATTCATTAAATAACAGCCTGTTACTACAAAATTGGAACGGAAATCATTAAGAAACAAACCATTTAAAATATGAAACATTAAACTAGTTTCAACTGCTTCGATATAATTTAATTTCATGCACTGAAGTTTAACCGAAGATATTGTTTCCTACGTGGTCGTCGAGTTTTCATTCGTCGAGACTTTATATACAAAGTTTTGATCTGATATTTGCATAACAAAGAATGTTATGTTTATTTATTGTTGTATTACTTCATCTGAAGTAGAATATTCTGGGAAAGCGATTAAAACCTCCCACATGGGATACTCAGCGTAGATGTATGGGTGTGCTGGTATGTATAGTTCGCATCGCCCGTGAAAGTACTGAAATAGCGGCGGTTACAGCGTCCACCTGAGATTATCCAACTTTGTGGGTGATTCAACTTTGCGTACCTACATTCCACGTTAATGAGTCCTCTTTGTTTATAGACTCAGGTATGTGATTACTTTCCACTTGAACTTAATTTAAACAATATCAAGTAAATAAATTTTTTTGGCATTTATTTCAGGTTTCAATTCGTCAAGTGCTACCACGCACAACTGTCAAGTAGGTTTCAGGTTCGATCCTTAAATGACATTTTTGACTTTTAAGGTAAACTTTCAATACTTAACTTTTTTCATACTACATGTAGCAGATTTTACCTTAGACTCTGGTAAACAATTTGGGCCCTCATTGGAACATTAGGTATTATTTAGTTTTGTTTATTAGTAGAAAATAAATAGACAATGATAATATAGTATTATTACAATAAAGCTTTTAAAATTTTCTTTCTATCTGTAGATTTTAGTTTCAATTAAATTGTCTGTCCCCGAGTTTTTGCGAGTTTTATTAGCCCACATAGGTAGTTATAACTTGCAAAAGTTACAATAGTACGTAAAAGGCTTAATCAATTTCCAGACCTAAAAAGTTAGAATTTATTGAACTTTTTGTTGTTAAAATAGTCAAATATAAGAACTTCTCTGCTAGTCGTAGCAAGTACCTACGTAGTAAGTTACGAAGTTGTAAAATCAACGGTATTAATAATTATATTTTAAATATGGAATGGAAAACTAAGATTCATACAAAAATCTAGATGTAGGAATATAGATTTCAGACGGAGGAATCGACGGGCAGGTAGGCAATAAAATTCCGAAAGAGTTATTTATATCACTTCAGTTACTGCATTCTTATAAATAGATCTCAATGATATTTAAATATCATCTGTTCTAGACTTTCGACTTTTTAATCTGTGTAAAACAACGTCATTTACAATCTCATAACAGGATGTTTATAAAATAGACGATCTAATTTATTACTAGAACAAAAAATGTTTGATTCCATTTTGTTTATTAGTAAGTTTTTATTTTGTGATATATTTCCACACACAAGGTCGGCGCCATTGGCGACAAGTGACCTCGTATCGGTAACTATTTTTATTTTATTTTTGAGTAGATACTACATATATCTTTTCTTCCAGCACGGTTTCTTTTAAGTGTCTATCTAAAAAGTACTCCATGTTTGCGCAATTTTTTTATACTTAGATGTAGTGCAGTGCAACTGTTAAGAATTCTCACAATCAAACCAGAGTCGTGTACCTAAATACATATAGGTATTAGAATTTTTATTGTAATGCAGAGACCTCGG